ACAATAGATGTGATGCAATTTAACAACATTAAATTATACAACCTATTTAATATACATTAACCAAAAAAAGCTATTAGTACACATTAATATAAGTAATCCATATTTATAGGAATTTGATGATAGATGTTATATGGACATCGTTTGTTCCCAAGAATAAAATAAATACAGTTAGCTCTTTTTGGGCATGTCAAATCTCAAAGGATACAGAAAGTTCGAGATACCTATCGAGTCTAATAATTAGTGTAATGTTAATATTACTTCAACGTACAAGGGGACTTCAATTGGGTTCGAGATAAAGAAAAATTCGAGATATCGACGTTCGACTTCGACACAAGAAGAATTCACTGTAATAATATTATTGTTATGTGCGCCATAATAACTGAGTTTTCAACCTAACTATAATATCATATATTCGTGTATACTAATGTAGCCATGTATATTAGGCAGTAAGTATAATTTAATATTTATTATGTATATTATATTATTACCTATATATTATATTATACATACTTTTCGGTGATAGTACAACGCATTATATAAAATATTATAATATAATAATATAATATGCACTTTATAGTTTGTACCTTGAAATAGGAATAACTTATACCTACCTATTGTGATAATATAATATCATGATGCAGATATAGGTAGGTACATCGTACGCATAATAATAATTTACTATATTATATTGTAAGACGTGACACCTCAGAAGCGATAATTTGTGTTCACAACGTCAGATATGAATCCGATACGGGAACTTATCTTAAAACTGAATTTGGTAATAATAAGAAAATAGTTTTCGATTATATTGAATGTTGACAAGTGAATGATTTTGTCTGGTCTTGAACAACATGTCGATGTTATACATTACACTTACACATCATACGATGTGATATAATTGAAATAATCGCATTTAACGGTATAGTAAATTGAATGTATTCGCCTCATAATAAGTATAGTGGTATAGGTAAGTACTTTATTGATATTTGAATAGTTACGGTTGATAAGGTTAATACGATATTTAAAAGCTCTATACAAAATACAAATACAATAAGGGTTGAGTATCCGCACGTACATTTTGTATAAATTCTTAAGTAACACATACTATATATTATATCTGTACAGAATAAAACTATAACAAACTATACAGGTTAAAGCCAGTGACTGAGTGTTTGGTATGTACCTAATGTGGTCTGCAGGGCTTCAGAAGGAATATAAAGAAATATTTACAAGAGGTATCAATAGCTATTAATTGTTTTTAATTACAAAATACATTTGAAAAATTAAAAATAATGATGGATTTATAACAAAGTGAGATTACATACCTAATACACTAAATATTGTACCTACTTAAGTAGGTACTAAAACATACAATATTATACATAATGTATACAAGTACAATATGATATCTATTTATAAAGATACTGTGAAGGCACGATACACATAATATATTATTATAATTTAAAAAGTATCTAGTACAGATGCACAAGAATCTTAAAAAATTGGGATACTTTCATGTCCCATTTTAGAAAACGATGTTTTTGAAATAAGTTTTTGATACGTACCTATTAAGCATATATTTGTTGTCATCTCGTAGGAACTGTCAATTTAAGCAGTATTTGACTGAATAAAAAAAAAAATTTTAAATGAGGTAACAAATTTTAGCTCAAATGCTGTTACCTAGCTGTGATCTAAACTCTAAAACTTGAACGTCGTATGGTTATGAAAACAGTTTATGATAATGCTGTCAGAAATATGCTAACAAGTACCTGGAATGTTATCTGATAGTGTTAAAAAGAATAGTAGCGTCAGCCAAAGACAACCAAGAATAAACCAAATTTAATCGTCATTAAATAATTAAATACATAATATTACCTATCAAGTATTCATACAATTTGTATTAAATTATTGGTTATAATATTGATTATTGAGCCCGGAGGTTTGAACATTTGCATATTATGACTTAGCTGTCCAAAAACTTAACCACCCACCTATAGAGGATGGCCATATTTAGTAGAAAACATGCAAAAAAAACTGAACAAAAATCATCTTGGTCATATTTTATACACTAGGTAATACCATATTTACATCACCAATAGGTAATAATCAATCAGAAGGACTCATAGCGTATTGAAAATATTGTTTTTCTTAATTTTTGGGTGTTTATTTTACTATTGTTCCTTTTTTAAAATTATATTACAACATAGTATTATAAATAATTATCAGCCAAAATCCAATCATCTACTTTCTACCTAAACCATGCTTAGAGCAACCATAAGCAGCCACTGATGACCGATACGTTTTTATTTGAAATCTACTAAAATCCCTTAATCTTAACCGCAATGCTTTGTTTTGTGTGTGAATTGATTCCTTATACTGACTTCATGTACTAATTTATTCCCGAGTTAATTTGGGAGACCAGGGGCGTATACATGGGAGGGGGGGGCGACATTGTTGAATGTGTATCATGTATAGGTGCTTACATATTTTATTATAGTATTATATTAAAAAATTAAAAATACAGTGCATATTTTTTCTTAATGAAAATGGATAATGGTTATCAAAAACCTGTTATCAATTAATAATACATCTATAATAAAATTTAAAATTTAAAACAAGATTCCACGTAAGTAGTTTATTCTGTTACCAAAAAATCTAAAAAATACATAAGCATAGTTTATTTTTATAGTAATTTTGAGTTCAAATTTGGACGAAATTACATAATAAAAAACCTATAGGATAACTATTTTAGTTATTTTGTTGTGATTGTGGTAACTTGAAACTTCTAAAGTACACTATTATGTATCTATGATTATCAATCGGCCGAATCATCGACTAACAGTGAAGAATTGAGACCTGCTGCTGTAAGAGCTAGCGACTTCGACTCTCTGTTACCCTTCACGTCGACTTTGCCACCTGTTCTGCCACTTGATTTCGACGCCCAGCATTTGAGTTCGATACCGAACACTTCAGAAACACAATTAATCGGTGATGCCGAGTCGGAAAAACCGCTGGAGCACGAGACGACCGGTGCAGGTTTACAGGACATCATGGTTACCAGAGGCGGATCGCGGATGTGGAGATACTGCAGCAACGGACGTGACAGTAAGCGCTATCCGACCTAGTCGTCGCACACTGTGGAGTCGGGCGAAGACATTTGCACTGCGAATGTTTTGTTGCGGTGTTCCCGACATAGACCGAACATAGATTATGTTCAGTTTTGTGAGAGGTTTGGGGCAGTGGCTTTTAAACGTCGCTGCAGTCTTGGCTCCCTCCCCTCTCGCCTTTATTACGCCTGTGTAATACGCCAAGGTGCGCCATTGTCCCGATTTCACAGATCTTATGTGTCCAGCTGGACGTCGTTTTATTCGCTGGACACTCTGAACCAATCCTCCGTTTAGGCTCGCCTTTTTTTGGCGTTCGCCCGGCAGACATTTTTTTGTCCTCTCGTTTGTTGACCGTTTCGTGCATCGGCACCGACTTCGGCTTTTTTCCGTGATCTTGCGCCACGTCGTGGTCGTTCTCGTTTCCACTAGTAATACTCGTTTTTACCTACAGCTTTTTCCACAGCGGTTATATATAACCGACCACGTGATATCGCCACGTTTGTGTCATGTATCCACTGTGGAATTAATAGTCAATGATCTGCAGCAGCGGACAGCGGTTACTTCTGCCTTGCGGTCAGAATTCTAGCCCTGGATCAAAAGAAGTGTTTATGTAAAAAGATGATACCTACCTATAAATTATAAAATACATGGCTATATTTGCTTAATCTTGTGTACCTACATTTAGTAATTATATTAATAAACGTTATTATTGTTATGTAATTTATTTGGTTTTATTTGATATTATTGAATTTTTAAGCATTTGATCAATAATGACCAAAAAAATGTAACAACAAGTTACATCGAAAAAACCAAAAACACTGCGATTTTAGGAGAAAAACGACGTGTAATAAATCTCTCCGTGGATTTGAATTTCTCCAATTTGCTTAGTAATTTTATATTTTTCTCTAGAATGTTCTATATTAGAGTATAGTTTTGCCATTTAGAATTCTTGTCAATCTTGCTGTAAGTGGCGTTCATTCAGATTGTATAGTTATCTGTATTATGTTTGTTCTATAATAATATTAGCTAACTAGCTAACAAAATATATATTATGCTGTATATTATACCTATATGTTATTGCACAGAGCCCACTATAGGGCATAATATATTATCAATAGAAATAAAGTATTAATTGTAACGTGTTCAATACGAGTACCGCCTATACAAGATAATATTATATCTATACTATTATATAAAATGGTAAGGGTTTTCTTGGACCACGCTAACCGAGACAACTACTGAGCCGATTTGGCTGAAATTTTTTACTGTTATACTTGACAGTCTGCTGGAGGTCATAGTACCACTTTTGTTTAGAAAAATCCACCAGAAAAGTAGGAAATATGGATGTCAAAAATACAACAATGGCGCAATCTGTCCATAAAAAAATAAACTAATTAATAACAAATGAAAAATAAAGTTTATTGTTGCAGATTAAAATAATAATAGTGTATTATAATCACTGAACTCAATAATATGGAACGCGTATTGCGAAAAAAAATTGATGCCCCCTAGTAGTCCGCCATTTTGATTCTTCTCATGGACTAAACAATTTTCTCATGGAATAAACAATTTAACGAAGCAATATCAGAGCGATGTTTTGTGATAATGTTGCCGCTTAATTTTAAAATTCCCTATAAGAGTACTAAGAAATTATCATCGGTTCTCAGAAAATGAAGTTCCTGAAAGTTAAACACCATTGCTGGAATTCGTGTCATTGCCTAATCTCCATTCTATTATCCCATAGGTACCTCAATAAAATATAGTACTTCCCACTTAATAGCATTGGAATTGTAAATTTTTTTTTTGTTCATTGTAATTTGTTATGGTAAATAGTGATTTATAACTGCAAAGTATTTTGATTTTCATAAATTGTATTATTTTGTTACCACAATTATGGTCCATAAGTGTAGTGTAGCCGGCTGCAGGCAAAAATATATTAAAGGCCTGAGTTTCTTCAAGTATGTATTCAATTAAATATAATATTGTATCGTATTATTATTATGTATCTGTATGAAATTGTTTAGAGTTCCATTTCACGATGCTGTACGGTCAAAAAAATGGACGAATGTGATAGGGATAAATGAAACTAGTAATAAAAATTGCTTTGTTTGTGAAAGACATTTTAAAAGTTGTGATTTTGATCACAATGGAATTGGCGTTAATGTTAAAAAATTGAAATTATCTGCGGTGCCCAGTTTGTTTTTACCGGTAGTAAACAATTTATTTAAAAATAATAATGACAAATTTATTAATATTACCTACAATCTATATGCATAGGTGATTGAAATAGTAAATGCAGAATATGAGCATAGCCATAACGATATGGAATTATCATTTGATTTTGAGGTAAAAAATAAATCCATCAGATTTTTAGTTGGTTCTTTACTAAAGTTGAAATAATTTGTTTAGGAAGTTGAAATGAATAATGATGATGTTAGTGATGAAAACTTACCATTAAACAGAAATGAAATGAATAATGATGATGTTAGTGATGAAAACTTACCATTAAACAGAAATGAAACGAATAATGATGATGTTAGTGATGAAAACTTATCATTGGACGGAAATGAGATGAATGACAGTATTTGTAATGAAAAATCACCAATTAAAATAAATGACGTTACTCCAAAAATTTTATTTCCTCAAGTAATAAACAATAATATTAAATGCCTAACCACTAAGTTAAAAGTACACATAATATATTATATTTAGCAGATGAACCTTTAGTATAACGTATCCAAAAATATTCAAATATATTTTAAAATATACTCAGTCTGACATTTTTGTGAAATATTATTAAAAAAAAAAAAAAATGCAATTCTTATTTTGAGATGCTAATTTTAGAAAAACAATCTCAACATATTTGAAAATATGCAAGCTAAAATTTTATTTTTGAACTCGTTAGGTTGTGATTTAAATTATTTGTAGGTGATCCACCATCGGTTACCTCTTTATTGGGTAATAGACTAATGGCAATAGCTTATAATGATTCAATATTGTTTTACGTAGTAGAATTTTTATGATGTAAATATTTTGGAGCCAGGGGGTACCTACCAGCTGCTACCCTTGAACCCTCCAGTGTGCGCCACTGCATGCAAATGCACAAGGCTGGGCATTAACGAGTTAAAAATTAAAATTAAGTTAAAACTTTAAGTTAATTAACTCGTTACTTTTTTTTTCAAATTAACTTTTAACTTAATAAGTTACTTTTTTTCAAGATTAACGTGTTAACTTCAAGTTAATTTTATTTCAAAAATATCTAAATTAAGTTAATTTTCTTCCGAAGAATAATGTAAATTTTTTAATGTGTTTTTACTTTGATGTATCATTTTAAATTTCCACAGTAATTTTCTTAGACGTAAAGAAAAACTATCTAATAAACCACATTATGTGTCTGGAATTTTCTATTTTTGCAAATGAGCAAATTTTAACTTTACACTAAGTTAAGCTACTTTTTTTCAAAGTTAACTTTTAACTTAACGAGTTAACGATAAAAAATACGAGTAACTTTTAACTTAAATTAACTTAATTATTTTAAAATAACTTAACTTAACGAGTTAAAAAAAAACATTAACTTGCCCAGCCTTGCAAATGCATAAACTTCTGGGCCCTAATAATTACAATAATATATAATAAAATAAAATTGTAGTAAGATACACTTTAAATAAATAAATATTATGTTTAACAGTCTTTGACTAGCAATCAAGAAATATTGTGTGATTTTTGCATTAGAAGACAGAATATTTTGAAAGCCAGAGAATATCATTTAAAAAAACTAGCTGAAATAAAAGAAGAAGAAAGTAAACTACCTTTAATTTGTCCTTGTGAAAATAATGAAAATCTCAAGTCAAATAAACAATGTATGAGTATGTTTGAAATAAAAAAAATGTTATAGGTTTAAGTATTTATGTTTTTAAATAATTTATAGCACCATTGGATGAATGTAACAAGTTTTCTACATTAACTCCAAAAGCACTAGCAAGACGAGCCTTTACACTTGACCATTCATATATATCATCTCCTTCAAGGCTGATTAAACACAAAAACAAAAACATAAAAAATATGAAAATTAGAAAAGTTAAGTCAAAGATAGTAATTCAAAAGTGCAAACGTCAAATAAAAGTAATTAAAAATATTAAGTTATTATTGTCTTATATGAAAAAGAAATGTGGTGTTCAAGAAAAATTATCATCCTATCTTGAACATACATTCCCAACGGCAATGTCAGAGTTGTTTAACAGATATAGAAATGGCGGTAGAAAATGTTTTTCGCCAGAATTAAGAGCTTTCGCTCTAACTTTGAAATTTTACTCTCCCAAGGCTTACAATTTTGTTAGAGAAAAATTTGGTTCATGTCTTCCTCATGCAACGACCTTAAGGTCCTGGTACCATGAGATCAACGTAGAAGAAGGTTTTACAGAAGCATCATTTACTGCTCTCAAAAGTAAATCTTTAGAATATACACAGAATGGTAAACAATTACATTGTGCAATGATGTTAGACGAAATGCACATAAAAAGACAAATTGAGTGGGATGGGAAAAAATGTCATGGCTTTAGCAGCATTGGAAATGGCTATACATCAAATGATTCTGAACTTAGAGCAGCCACTCAGGTTTTAGTTATTTTAGTGGTTGCACTTGATTCTTCATGGAAAGTCCCGATAGGCTATTTCTTTCATAAAGGCCTAAACGGAAAAGATAAAGGAAAATTGGTATTAGAAGCTTTAAAAAAACTTTATGAAATTGGTAAGTTTTTTTAATTTCATGTATAAATACAAAAAAGTTTCTATTTTTTTTTCAGATATTCAAGTTCCGTCTTTGACATTTGATGGTCCTTCATCTCATTTTTTTATGGCCCATGCATTAGGAGCAAATTTATCAATAACTAACATGAAAACTTTTTTCCACATCCTTGTGACCCAACAAAATTTGTCCACTGCATAATAGATCCTTGCCATGCACTGAAGTTGGTGAGAAATGCTTGGTCTTCTATGCGCGTGATTTATGATGGTGATAATAATAAAATTGACTGGGGATACATTGAGAGACTAGTTACATTACAAGAAAATGAAGGACTTCACGCTGGTAATAAGCTGAGGAGAAGACACTTGGAATGGAAACAATCACCAATGAGGGTCAATATAGCAGCCCAGACTTTAAGCTCGAGTGTTGCAGATGCTATTGATTTTTGTCGAAACCTTAATATTAAAGAATTTGAAGACAGCGAGGCAACTACTCAGTTTATACGAACAATTGATAGATGGTTTGACATTCTTAATTCCAGAAATCCGCATGGTTGTGGTTATAAAAGTCCGTTAAGATCAACAAACATTGACCAAAGAACAAGAGAATTACATACAATAACAAATTATACATTAAAAATAACATGGGGATCAGGCAAGGGACTAATGGTTGAACATCCAAAAAAGACTGGCTTTTTAGGTAAAATTTAAAAATATATTATACCTCTATAATTCATAACTTTGTTAATAATTAAAAAAATATTTACAGAAATAACAAATTAGATTTTATTCTGACTAATTGATGAAAAAAAAAAATGTAGAAAATATTATTAATGTACCTAACCTATACTTTTTTTTTCAACTATAGGTATTATAATTTCATCATTAAGCATAATAGATATATACAGGAAAGTAATTGATCCAAATCCTGATCAATTTAAGTATCTGCTTACCTATAAAACGTCCCAGGACCATGTAGAGTTATTTTTTAATGCTATAAGAGCTCGAGGTGGTTGGTGTGTGAACCCAACACCTAGACATTTTAGTGCTGCATACAAAAAATTACTGATGCATCATTGTGTCAAATCATCCGGTGGAAATGTCGAATCTTTGGACAATACAGGTATACTTTTTACAACCCGTTTGCCAGTAGGTAAATTTGAAGATACTCTGCCAAATGATACATTATCTATATCTAATGGAAGAAAATTTAAAGAAATGTTAAATGATGAAAATTATACTAATACCGAAGAAGAAAATATAACTTGCTTACCCGATTTTGATATTGATCATAACAGAGAAATTCAAAAAGAACTCTATGACATAGGTTTAGAAATGCCACCAAATTATTTTGTACTTAGTGAATTTTCGGAGAATGTAGTTGCTTTAGTTGCAGGATATGTTGTTCGAATGGTAAGTTATAAATATATTTAACTTTAACAGCAAGAATAATTTAAATAAAATATGTTGCAGGTTAGCAAACGGCTAAAATGCCACGAATGTACAGCAGCCCTATACAAAGGCAACCTTAATGAAAATCGTGTGCTTCTAATAATCCAAAAAAGTCTAGGTGGTCTTATAATACCAGCAGATGATGTGATAACTGTTTGCCACATGACAGAACTTTTGTATCGTCGAGTATTAAATGACATTTCAGAAATAAGTGAAAATGATTTTTCCCAAAATTTAGCACTATCTGTTTTCAGTCGCCTATGTCAAAAAAATTTATTTAATCAGCTATATTATCATTCCTTTGATTCTGAAGAAAATCACATACAGATACTAATAAAAACTATTTCATTATGTTTCATAAGAATCAGAAACTTTCATGAAACCAAAAAAATCAATACAAATATGATAGGCAAAAATAAACGTAAAATTTTAACAAGATTAGCCATACTACAAAATGTTTAAAATTTAGTTATAATAATAAAATTAACATATTATTATGTACAATAATATATAATAGTAAATAAAAGATAATTAATGTTAAATAGATATTATTTATGTTTCTAATTTAATTATTTTTCAATGCATTGGTTTATTAAACTATAGTAACTGCACTTGATCACCACACTACGTATTAATTACAATAATTAATTATGAATTATTATTCACTATTACAATAAACTCCTATGGACGTTACGAACTATAGTAATTACGAACGATGGAAAAACAAAATGTGTAGTTAAAGTTAACATTTTTAAATTAATTAACATTTAAGTATTTAACATTCCACAGGTATAACATCGATAGATCTCGCTAGAGAGCGTTCTGTGCTTTACGGCGGCCCGGTGTCGTAGCACAGAGTGAACAGAGAGATATATATACAGGAAAACGGACGATATTTTGATTTTTACATGCAACGTATATGGAGAACGGTCGAATTTACTAGTTTTTCGCTTTCGCAATACCGCGTTGAGTTGTGACGATATGCGCATGCGTGAGTGCGTGACCTTGGTTGCACGGCGGCGCGGCAGTGTGGCATAGCGCACTGCGCAACGCGCTTCCTACTCCTAATTCCTATTACTATTTCATTTGCTCGCTAGCCTCCGTGCTGCAGGTTGTGTGTAGCACTGTAGCCATATTGTCCGTCTGTTCGATTATTATTTATTACCATCCGTACGGCGTACATTATTCCAATAACAGTGATAAACGTACCGACGGTCGGCCGTATGTTAATCTTTCTCTGCTGTCTCGCGGAGTCCGTATTTTATGCAAGTACTGCATAAACTACTAATTAAAAGACCATGGCCGATCAATTAAAAAAATGCTCACATATTAGTATTAGAAGAGAAATAATATATAATTATAGAATAGATTATCAAGGTACTTTCCTGTTATACTAGACTACCCTGTTTTTTGAGAACATCACAATCCTGTTATCTAAGACTACCAAAATTATACTTTCCTGTTATACGAGACTACGGCTATTATCGCGACTTCCACCAAAGACTACCTCCGTTATGGCGACTACCTATCTTATATAGCTGACATTATAGTCGAACGATATCCATAAGCTGCGATTATATTTATTATATTTGTGGATTTATCATTTTGTATTATTATTATTATTTTATTATTTTATTGTTTTCCGTATGCCGCGACAAATTTGGTACATTACAAATAATTATCATGTATTACATTTTTTTTTATATAATTTGAATGTGGCCATACCCACAATACGTACCTAAATTATTTATTATTTTATTTGTGGATTTACCATTTTGTATTATTATTATTAATTTATTGTTTTCCATACATCGCGCCAAATTTGGCACTTTGACGTGTAACATGTAAAATACATTACGAATAATTACTATGTATTTAAATGTTTTCTTTATTTCATTCTGGCCATCCCCAAAGTACATATTATTAAAAAATCTATCAAAGAAGGGAAGAAAAATAAAGGTGGCCACGTATAACAGGAAGTACCATTTTGGTAGTCTTAGATAACAGGATTGTGATGTTTCACAAAATAAGTGCGGTAGTCTCGACAACGAAGGTAGTCTTGGGTGGTAGTCGCGATAACAGCCGTAGTCTCGTATAACAGGAAAGTACCATTATCAATATAGAATTAATGTCTCTTGCTTCAGAAAAATAGCTGAAATCTCCAAAAAAAACTTCGGAGAAGTAAAACAAGTCTTCTGTGCTTTACTTAAATGGATTGGAGTACTTGAATTTTGAGGTAAATAAAAAATTGAAATCAATATCAAAATTCTGTGCTTAGTAGGTGCAAGAGAGAGTATAAAGAAAGTTCCTGTTAAAATTGTGGTAAATAAAGAAGTGAAATCAAACCTCAAAATTCTGTGCTAAAACTTAATTGACTATTGAATAAAATTCGATGACATGCAATTTTACCACATTTTTAGCTAAAAAAAAAATTGCACAGAACGTTCCACATTTGCCCGCAAAAATTCACATGTCCATGGATGCACTTCGTTCTGTGCAATTTTTTTTGTAGCTAAAAATGTGGTAAAATTGCATGTCATCGAATTTTCTTCAATAGTCAATTAAGTTTTAGCACAGAATTTTGAGGTTTGATTTCACTTCTTTATTTACCACAATTTTAACAGGAACTTTCTTTATACTCTCTCTTGCACCTACTAAGCACAGAATTTTGATATTGATTTCAATTTTTTATTTACCTCAAAATTCAAGTACTCCAATCCATTTAAGTAAAGCACAGAAGACTTGTTTTACTTCTCCGAAGTTTTTTTTGGAGATAATATTACAATTCTATGATATTCTGATATCACTGAGATTTGGTAGAAGATAAGCTAATAAAACAGTTCTATCCATGAAATATCATGGAAAGAAACATTAACGGAATGAAGATGGCAGCCTCATAGGGGGCATCACTTTTTGTATTAGAAAATATACACAATACGCGTTCCATATTATTGAGTTCAGTGATTATAATAATATATTGGTTGCTATGTTATTTATACTACTATATAAAATTGTAAGGAGTTTTCTGCGACCACAATAACCGGGAAAACTACAGAAACGATTTGCTGATTCCTTTTTGTTGTATTCGTAATAATTGTCAGGACAAGGTTCTTATGAAAGAATATTCTAGGGAAATTTACCAGAAAAGTAGGAAGTAGGGATGTCAAAAATACAACAGCGGCGCCATCTGCCCAGAAAAAAATAAACTAAATAATAAAAAAATGTAGTTAATTGTTGCAGATTAAAATAATAATAGTGTATTATATATCGGTTGCTATTGGTTAATCGGGCATGTTTGTTGATTTGTATTATTATTTTTCGTAGATATATAATGTTATATAATGTTTGTGTGTAGATTAGACCTCTGGGAAGAAGATAGATTAATTTAACAAGGGTTAAATTTGGTTTTTTTTTATTCATCGGATTTTAGTATGGTTAGGTTAGGTTAGGATTTTGTATTGATTAATTATAAAAATTCACCGTACTTTGATACTCTAGAGCTAAATCATACACTTACGTACAAACAGCACGGGATCAGCCATCTACCGCAGGTAGATTGCCTACCTGATAATATACAGCTGAGAATCAGAATTTTTATTCTGGGCACAACGGAAAAGTTAAGATAAGTTTTCAACACCATACATCGAATATTAAATAACGAATTGAACAAAGTTCGAGTCATATATATAGAGTTGGTCCATTTAACGGCAACGATATGCACGTGATCGGTTTTTTTGTAATAAAAATATATTTATCATTAATACCGCTAGAAACATTTCAATACGCTTTCATTAAAAGTTTTTTTATATTGACTTGCCGATCACAATATCACATTGAGCTATACAATTTGAATACAAAATTATACATATCATCGTTCAGAGGCAAAATAAACAACCAATCACGGGCGAAGCTGTGACGGGTCGGCTATATGTAAATATAAAACTTATTTAAAAATAAAACAAAATTTATTAAACCACTGAAATATTTCACACATTTTGAAATAATTCATGAAATATTTCACGAAATATTACATTTTTTTAAATTTCATGAAATTTTCAAACACTGTAAATAATAATAGATAACATTTAGACAGCAGTCTCATATAATAAGTAGATACATAGTTTTTAGACAGCAGTCTCATATTATGATAATACAAATTTACAAAATACAGTGATAAAACAAATTTACAAAATACAGTGGTAATAGAAATTTACAAAATACAGTGGTAATAGAAATTTACAAAATACAGTGATAATTATTATAAACATAAGGGCCCGTTGTCCGGAATAAATATAAACAATTGGTCGACTCATAGGATAATTTAACTACACATTTACCGTATTATAGGGTCCGTAATAGTATAATACATCTATTACAAAATTGACCAAGTTAATCAAGGGACAAGTGGACTCTGCATACGCGCGAATGCATATTGACAAAGAAGATTTCACTAATAAAGTAATACTGATTGCAGCCGGGACAGAAATATGAAGTTTTCACACTACAAAGTACAGGGCTGATTTATAAAAACAAAATAATTTAGTTAATTTTGGCGTACGCCAAGTACTCGCTCGGAAAACGGGGTACACCAAGGGGCGCAAACGCGGGAGCGAAAAATACCGGACGAACGAGCTCATAATAATATTACAAACTTAAAGGGCGGGGGCAGACGGTGGTGGTAGGGGAGAAGTCAAAAACTTGGTGGACATTACTCTACGTCTACAAAGGGTTGGTAGAAGCAAAGCCTGCGTGCCACGTTCACCAACGACCTCCAAACGAACCGTTTGGTCCTCTTCCAGGCGGACCTCCTCCGTGGACCAACAGACCGTGATGTTGCCGGGTATTCCGGGACTTCGGAATATGTAGGAATCGGTAGGACAGCCGCGTCAATCAACGAGGTTTCCCCGAGTGTGTCCGTATTCGGTGCCACGCTAAAAGGCGCAGCGGGCTTCGACGATAGTCCTCCAATCATAGGCACGTCCTCCAGGCATACGGATGATTTCATTGTGAGTTCCGGCAACGACCGGGTACTCTCCTTTGCAGCGTTTCCGCGGTGAAGTAGCGGTGCCTCGACCGTGACCTTAAGGTTCACCACTGGCAAATCATAAACGTCAGCTACTGCACTTTCTTCGAGTGGGTCCGTATTCGACTTCAAGTGAAAAGGTGCAGCGGGCTCCGACGATGGTCCTCCAATCATAAGCACATTTTTCTCCAGATATACCGGTGAGTCAATACTCAATTCCGGCGACGACCGGGTGCTCTCCTCTGCAGCGTTTCCGCGGTGAAGTAGCGGTGACTTGACCGCAGCTGTGACCTTTAGGTTCACTGCCAAGTCCAGAACGTCGACTATACATCGACCCTCGTTATTGGCATACATTTGTTGGAATTGTTTTGGAACTGTGGCGTCCATATTTGTATTTTACGACGTGATAAACGGCAGAAAAAGAAAAATAACAGAAAAATATGGACAGAGATAAACGTACGATGACGGGTTTCAAAAAACTATTTGTTTACTACAATAAATATACAGCTATGGTATAGTAGTGTTCTTTTGTGGCCAGCATAGTTACCAGCATAGTTACCTTGAAGCCAGCTAATAAATAAGTTTTTTTTATCTTTTAATTATTTTATTATAAGATTTTATTATATTTCATATACAGGGTGTCCCGTGAGGATTTACTCATTAGCCGTAGAGGGGGACTCACCGCCCGGACAAAAACCAGTTTATTGACGTTTTACTAATAAACTAAAAAAATTATTAAAAATCATGAGATTAATGAAAATAAAATGTTAAAAGCTCAAAATGTTTACAAAAATATACTCTATAGAATGGCTATCTTCAATTTTTTCAAAAATAAAAAATTAAAAAATAATTTTTTTAACTTTTTTACTAAAAAATTTAATTTAATTAAAAAATAAAATATTTGTAGTGCTTACCTAAACAACATAATTACGATATCTCCATTATTTCAGGAGATATCGCAATGAGTAAATCCTCACGGGACACTCTGTATTTATTTATTTATTTGTATCGGGCATGTTTGTTGATTTGAAATATTATTTTTTATGTTCCAATTTTGTGACTACAATATTTAATATTTTACCAATTTTTATTCACAGAGTTGTTCCAAATACCTTCCTGAGTGTCGCCGTGTAGCCCAATTTTTATTTTTTTTATCGGAGGGGAAGGAGAAGAGAATCTATATATTATATACCTAAAATCCAAATACCACTGACTCACTGATCGCCGTATCTCAAAAACTACTCAATGTACGAACTTGAAATTTAGAATAGTGGTTCTTCTAATAATTTCACCGTGCAATAAGAAAGGATTTGGTAAAATTCGCATTTTAAAGAGGTGCTCAAACAGGGACATTGAGGTTCACATTGAAAATTTTATTTTTAATTATTAATAGTTCCGAAGATCAGGAAGATCAGGTACAAGCTTGCATCAAATAGAATTATTGAACATTGCTTACCAAGGTGATTGGTGAAAAAGTTGCCCAAGTAGTGGGATTGCCTACCAGGGTGGCTGAGTTGCACTTACTGCAGGCTGCAGCAAGTTACACCCAAAAGTAGTTGAACAATCATACATTTTTAAGATTTGCGATTTTTTACGGGTAATGAAATGAACGGGTTCTGATGTAAAAATATATTTACCATTAATACCGCTAGAAACATTTGAATACGTTTTCATTAAACGATAAAATTTTAATAAAAAATTATACATATCATCGTCCGAAGGCAAAATAAACAACCAATCATGGGCGAAGCTGTGACGGGTCGGCTAGTAATGTTATATAATAATATAACAATTGGATATTAAATATTAATTTTAATGTAAGACACTAATTATTTCATAAACTTTGAACGTTTTTTTACACCATTGTGCTGTTGTTACAATTGTGGATGGACAAGGACAACCGTGGTTGATGGATGTTCTCTATATCTGTGGTATGTGCAATGTGCTACAATTATGGCTGTAGATAAGACTGATAAGAGTCAAAAGATTAGAGATATAGTGGCTATAATCACAGATATATACAATAATTATTATTGTTGTTGTATCTGTGACAGTGTGCCTATAATAATTATTAATTGTGATCGTCTACAACTTACAAGATTATATTACCTATTTATTTTTTTTAATGGTCCGCACTCTGCACTAATCACGCTCTAAACTTATCAATTTCTAAATCTTCGAAAGTCCAAATCGTTAGAAATACTATGGGAATTCTCCAAGAAACCATTTCATTTTTTCATCTATCTTCCAAAAGGAATTTCATCTTGAAAAATAACCTTAAAAGTTCCAAAAGTTCTAAAACATCATTAACCAGTTTGTGTGTTACACGTTGGGTAGAACGTCACACTAGTATAATATACTTTGAAACCAACATGTCAGAAATTCTAACACATATATCTCAATGGACAGATCAAGTTACATCATCTAAAGCTAACTCATTACTTCTGAGTTTGTGCAATTGTGAATTTATTATAACATTGTATATATTATCAAATATCTTCAGTATTACACTACCAGCCAGTAAAATGTTACAAGGAGTTAATTTAGATGTAAGTGGTGATTCCAGCTGTATTACCAGTATAGTACAAAATTTAGAAGATAAAAGATTAAATGCTAAAGAATATTTTAGTGAAATATTTCTTGAAGCTAAAACTAAAATGATTGACTTAGACATCGAAGTCAAGTTACCAAGAATAACAAAAATTCAAAATAAAAGTGCCAATACATCTGCAAATACACCAGAGGAATATTACCGGAGAGTTCTGTACATTCCCCTAATCGACAATATTTTAGAAGACGTGAGATCAAGATTCCTAAATAAAAAAACAACAGCTATTTTTCAGTTGATTGAATTTATTCCAGCTAACATAATCAACAAGTCTTCACTCGATGTCAAAAAAATGATTCATACAGTAATTGAACATTTTATATTTTTGGATATAAACATTAACATTTTAAAAGGAGAAGTTGATTTATGGAAATCAAATTAGATTTCCAGTAAAAATGAAGGTAAATACTACTTTATTAAATAAAATTTGCATATTGATTGGTAAAAAATCAAATATATTTTATTTTAAATTATTTTAAAGTCTTAAAATACCAGAAGATGTATTGGAATCTATTGATGAATGTCATCCAGTCATGTTTCCTATATTTAGACAGGTTTTAGTTGTATTATCAACATTACCAGTAAGTATCGCATCAGCAGAAGCTTCTCTACTTTAAGGAGGTATGCATGTATATTTTGCTTTTTTTTTAAGTTATAAGAAAATAATTTTGGTAAAAAGCAGGGCTTAGAACTTATGTGGTTTAAAATATACTAAATATTATGCATGCATTTATGCACACTAAAGATCACAAAATATATACATATAGTATCTTATTATATAATATAATAATATTATAGCCTTATATATATATAATATATACAGTATGTCCCAAAAGTCCCGTATCACCCTTAATATCTCCATGTAAAATCACTATATTTAAACGCGGTTTTTTTTACAGTACTAAGTATGAAAATTCTGATTGAATGGCATAAAATTCATTTATTTTTTTCTTTAAATTCAAAAATTTTCAAAAATTTTTTTTACGCATTTAAGAATTTAAAATTTTTAAGATAGCCATTTTGTTGAGCATATTTTTTAAAACAGTTCAAAAAAAAAATACTAAAATTAAATAAAAATTGACCAAGTTAGAGCAAGTTATGTTTTTGAATAATTGTAGTAAAAAAATAAATTAGGAATGTAAAAGTATTGTCGTGTGCTGAAATTAGATATTTCATTATTGAAATGTGAAACAATAATTTATTTTTTTTACTACAATTATTCAAAAACATCACTTGCTCTAACTTGGTCAATTTTTGTTTAATTTTAGTATTTTTTTTTTTTTGAACTGTTTTAAAAAATATGCTCAACAAAATGGCTAACTTAAAAATTTTAAATTCTTAAATGCGTAAAAAAAATTTTTGAGAATTTTTGAATTTAAAGAAAAAAATAAATGAATTTTATGCCATTCAATCAGAATTTTCATACTTAGTACTGTAAAAAAAACCGCGTTTAAATATAGTGATTTTACATGGAGATATTAAGGGTGATACGGGACTTTTGGGACATACTGTATAATATAGGTAGTTTTTTTAGAAATTAAGTGATTTTTGATTTTTAGTCTCGAATAATATTAATTGATGTGAAGGTTACTATTATCATATTATAATTTAATCATCAAATACTATTTTGTGATTAAGACACAAACTAAGAAAGAAAAAAAGTTAAACTTAGGTCTTAATGCTTTTTTATGAAATTAATTTTTAGCTTACTAGGCAATAAATCTAATTAACTAAAAAAACTGCCTTATGCAATAATATTTGCATTAATGTACTCTTTAGTCTTTATAACCATGTTGAGCAAAATCAGTTTAGATTTTTTTTACAATTAGTTATTATTTATGACATAACTTAACTAGTTAAAAATGCTATCATATTTATTTAATTTCCGCTATTCAGTATTACTTTACTCAGATAGTCTGTTTTAGATATTTAATTGATTATTTTTTTTAATTATGTGATTATTCTTATAAATTTGTCCATCTTCTTTGCTTTGCATTAATCATAACTCCTTTGGCTTTTGGCTGTTTGCTTATTGCTTTCTGAAATATGCTTAATGTTACATCAGGTTAAAAACATGGCTGAGAAGCCAAATGTCTCAGAAAAGACTGACAGGTTTGGCTTTGATGAACATTCATAGAACATCAATAGTTATAGAAAGATTTTCAAAGACCAAAAGAAAATTGGATTTTGTTATTTAAATATTATTTTATTATTCTATATTTAATATAACTATTATTAAAGTACGTGGTTATTATAATATGATTTTTTTTATTTATATGTACCTATGTCCTATGTCAAGTTATTTTATTTGGTATATTGTTGATGTTGTTTATAATAATTAGTGTTATGGGTTATGAAAGTGGGTAGAAATCAATTATTGAAGTTTAAGCAAGAGAAACGATCGAAAAATGTTGATCCTCCAATTTATTTATAATCTGTACACTGTCGTTTATGTACAATTTTTTTATAAGAACCTATGATTTGAGTTCAAATTTCTTCCCCCCCCTCCTGGAAGAAGAGCTAAGTACGCCCCTGTGGGAGACATACAAGTTGATTTCCAGCGCACATATTATACTTAGTTGATTCCCAAACTTTGGCCTTTCAAGAGGAGGTCAACTTACAAGTCTTCCAAAAACATTTTTTTTTATATAATTATTACATTTTGTCAACTTTCATATAATTTTGTTTGATCAACTTTTTTTTTAAATAAGTAAGACAGGTAATTAAAAAGTTAAAAACTAAGATAGGAATATTTAAAACTAAAAGTAGGTTAAATATTATATTTGATTTAGTTATGAAATGTTGTCAATTACCGTCATATTTTTCCATATACATACAATAGGTGGATTATTGAGAGAAAGGTAAAAAAATTGAAACTTATTTCTTTGAAAATTGATGTCTGCCAAGTGCCAATGAGGTTTAAATTAGACCTTGTGCATCATTTCCCTAATAAATACTTTTTATTTCACAACTTATTTGGATTATCTTGTCCCATTAATCCTGAATTCAATATATGTTTCACGCTGCACCTACATTTATGAGTTGTTCTAAATATTAGTGTTTCCATTATAAAAAAACAATAATTCAGTTTTGAACGATAACTTTTACAACTATTTGCAGTAGTTGTTCTATTTACAGTTGTAGAACTATAAATAGGTGGACTTATACTTGGTGTGGGAAACTGGCTCCTGGGTGAATATAATTATATTCAGTTAAAAACTTAAGAATCGTGAAATACTACGAACTTATGTCGAACTTGTTACGACTGTTGCATGTAGTGCATCCGCTACATTGGGTAATATTCGAGGACTTTCGACTATAAAAACTTGAATTAATTATTGTTTTCTCCAATCTCGAAGAGTGTGACGAGTTTTGGGATGTTCAAAGATTTAAAATTTTTGATGATTGTACATATACTACATGAACGATATAGAAAAGCATTTAAATTTTTGGTAACTGTTTTGTCTGATTCGCGTTAAAATAATCGTACCGTAATTATATAGGTACCTATAAGTTAGATAAATTCTCAAACCACATTATTCGCACAATCCGACCCATCGTAAATATTGCCATTATTGGTTTCGGTTAATGGCTCGATAATTTACATCGGTAAACCGGGGTAAACACATTTATAATATTAAACAATATATATATATATATGTAAATAGCCTAATGTAGGTATGTGTATGACCGGTGACCGTGTGTTAACATTATCGTGCGTACGACGTCCCGAAAATAACATGGTCAAAATATTAAATTCGAATTTGTGTTGCCAAAAACCCTGTTTCATTTTTTGGCAGTGTTAAAGTTTAATGTATTTTATTATTATTTATGTCATTCATTATTCTAATGTTATTATTTTTGTTTTAGGTTGATTATTAACGTAATAACTATCAATTTATTGTCACTCGTATAGTGCAATAATTATTGTAAATTTATTTTATCGTGAGGGAATTACAAAACTTTTTCTTATAAAAGTACCTATTTGAAAAGTCAGTTTCGGCAAAATAATTAAGTTATCATAAATAAATACGGGTTAAGGTTCATAGCGTGAAATAATAGAAGTATTAATTTATACTTAATGATAATTACCAATATATCAAGTAACTGAAATATGCGTCATTATAATATTCATTATAGGCCTTTAGTTATGTGTACACAAAGAAAAAAAGTTGCTCTGCTGTACAGTAGGTTACAAGTGGGTATTTGAATTCAATGATATAATATCATTGTATAAGAAAAACGATTCTAAGCAGAGACGGTGTGTCAGTCTAGGTATAAGACAAATTATAGACTTATATTATATGGTATTAAAAAAAATCGACCTATAATAGGTACCTATAGTAAATTAAAAATTAATCATTTCACAATATTCATTATTTATTTATATGCGTTATACATCAATAACAAACCATGATACTATCATAGATATATAGTATACTTTAGAAGTTTCAAGAACCCACGAATAATATTATACAATCATAACAAAATAACTAAAAAAGTTATTCTAGGTTTTTAATATGTAATTTCGTCCAAATTTGAACTTATAATGGCTATAAAAATAAACTGTGCTTATGTATTTTTTAGATTTTTAGGTAACAGAATAAACTACATACGTGGAATCTTGTTTTAAATTTTCAATTCTTAGATATAATTATAAAAGTCAAACATTTTATAAATTTTTAACTCCAAAATAATTATTCAATTTTAAATTTGATAAATGTTGTCAAAATTCGATATTTTAATACTTATAAAAAAAAATTGTGCCTAAGTATTTTTAATATTTGTCAACTGATATTGTAACAATATACCAGAAACCTTGTATTACATTTTTACACGTTTTGGCCCAACAGATAAAACTTTATTGATATTTATAGAAAAAAAAACTAAAAAAATTGAAAACTGAAAATGTCCGTAAACAGCTCAACAAGAGTCAAAATATTTTCAAAATTATATGACGTATAGAAAATTCTAATATAAACATTCAGTGAAATTTTCATGTATCTAAAGTTATTGGTTTTTGAATTACAAAAAAATAAGGAAATCTCTATATGAGATATCCAATGCTGAAAAAATTTGAATTTCAAACGCTCATAAAAATTTAATTTGACTTTCGTATAGACATTTTTTTTTATAAAGTTAGATAATCTCATAAAGAATCTTGTATTACATTTTAAAATCTTAAATTTAAAAAGAAAAAATTTTACGAATTCATATCTCAAAATAATTTGCTAATTTTCTTGATTTTTCCATATTTTGTCAATTTTTGAACTTTTAATTCTTATAAAAATAAACTGTGACCAAGGATTTTGAATATTTTTTGTCTGCCTTGGGAATATTATACTATTATCTATTAAATTTTCAAGCTTTTTTAACCAAGAA